TACAAATCAGGGCTCAATCTAGTGTTTTGTTGCTTATCTAGACTTAAGAAAATGACAGAGATGGGCAGCTACGTGGCATAGTAGATACAGCACGAGGCAAGAGGTCCTGAGTTCAAATGTGGCCTCAGACACCTACTAGCTGTGTGACCCTAGGCAAGTTACTTAACCCCAATTAGTTGCCTACAAAAAAAAAAAATCAAAGAAAGTGATGGAGAAAATGTTAATGATACAGATGAAACTGTCCTGTGTCTGTTTTTGTTTTTTCTCAGAGAACTGGTTGTTAAAGATTTACCAGCACACTCTTGATACAGATTTTCTTTGAATATAGTTATCATGTTCTTTCTAAGTTAAACATACTCATTTCCTTCAGATGATCCTTACAGAGCTGAATCCTAAGACTTCACCCTCCTGGTTGCCCTCCAATCATTAGCCAAGTAGTTCAGTGGATCAAGTGCTACAACTGGAGTTAGGAAGACTTGAGTTCAAATCTAGCTTCAGACATTTATTAACTGTGTGGCCCTGGGCAAGTCACAACCTCTATCTGTTTCAGTTTCCCCATCATACAGATGGGGATAATACTAGCACCTCCCTCCTAGGGTCATTGTGAGGATCAAATGAGATGATATATGTAAAGTGCTTTGTAAACCTTAAATTGCTATATAAATGCTAGCTATTGTTATTTTAAATTCAAGTTTCCCTCTCCAAAAAAAAGCAAGAGGTTTCAAATTCATAGATTGAGAAATCTCAAAAATTCTTTTCTAAATCTGAAGAAATAAATCTCCAAGTACCCATAGTGAAGAGGCAGCAGAGTAATGAAAAGTGAGCTGGCTTCAGAATCAGGATGCCTGGGTTCATATCCAGGGCAAGTCTTACTGTGATTGAGACTCTGTTTCTTCACTTATAAAACAGTGATAATAATACTTGTATTACTTAGCTCACGAGACTGTCCAGTCAACAACCCAACAAACATTTAGTAAATACTACTATGCACTGGGGTCACAAAGACAAAAATGAAACAGTCCTCTTCAAGCACCTTATATTTCACTGGAGAAAATAATGTGCATACATATAAATAAATGCCAACCATACACATAATAAATAAATAGTAATTTCAGGGAGGCACTGAGAACAAGATTTCATATAAGAAGTGGGCCCTTGAGCTGAGCTTTGGAGGGAGCTATGGATTCTAGGAGGTGGAGCTGAGGGCAGAGTGCATCCCAAGCACAGGGAGACAGCATGGGCAAAGGTAGGAAGATAGGAGATGAAATGTCATGTACTGAGAAGAGCCAGGCCACCTGGCCTGACCATGGAGTGAGCAAAGTGCTTTCTTCTCTGCTGTCTCCAAAGTTAGCAATGATCTCTCAGTTGCCAAATCCAATGGGCTTTTCTCAATCCTCATCCTCATGATATTGAGTAATGTGCATTGAACCTGGAAAGAAAGGCTGGGGCCAAATTGTGAAGGGTTTTGTATGACCAATAAGAGTTCTATTTTATCTTTAAGAGGCAGCATGGAGTCACTGGAGCTTTTTGGATAGGTGAGGGAGATGATCAGACCTGTGAATTAGGAATCTCAATTTGACAGCTGTATGGAGGATGAATTGGACAGGAGAGAAAGTGAGGCAAAGAGACCAATCAGGATGCAATTACAGTAGTCCAGGAGAGATGGCGAGGCCCTGAACTAGAGTGGTGGTAGTGTGGGTAGAGAGAAAGGGACGGATTCAAGAGATGGCACAGAGGTGGAGCTGATGAGACCGAACAATTGATTGTGAGAGTGATGGAAAGTGGAGAGCTGAGGATGACTCAGAGATTGTAAACCTGGGTGACAGGAAGGCTGGTGGTACCTTTGACAGAAATGGGGAAGTTAGAAAGGAAGGTGGATTGGAGTGGAGAGGACATGGTCCAATTTTGGTTATGTTCAATTTGAGTTGCCTAAGGTACACCCAGTGGGAGATGGACAAGAGGCAGTTGGTGACATGAGACTGGGGGTCAAGAGGGAGGGCCCCAAACTATATATATATATATATAGATCAGGGAGTCATCTGCATAAAGATCATCATTAAATCCATGAAAGCTAATGAGTTCACAAAGAGTGTGGAGAGACAGAGAGAGAGACAGAGACAGAGAGAGAGAGAGACAGAGAGAGAGAGAGAGAGAGAGAGAGAGAGAAGAGGGCCCTGCACAGAATGTTGAAGTACATCCTTGCTACGGGGTGAGGAGATGAAATATGATTCTTATGTCTGCCTCTTAGAATCCCTAGTTTCTTTCAAGAACTATCTCAGGTGTTGTCTTCTACATAAAGCACTCACACGCACCTAGACTCTTTGCTGGTGTCCTCCCCACCAATATTACCTTGTATCTATTTTGAACATACATGCATATATATATATATATGCATATTTACATATATAAAATATATACTTATATGTTGTCATGTCTCCCCCAATGTAGTATAAGCTTCTTAAGGGTGGGAACCATTTATTTCGCTTTTGTGCTTATAGCCCTAGTAGACAGTAGAATGATTGGCACATAGTAGGTTCAATAAGTGCTTGTTGATTGATTTATCCAACAAAAAGCATGAAGAAACAAGAGTCAGGAAGGTAGGGGGAGAACCAGGAAAGAGCAATGTTCCAAAAACAGAGAGAGAGAGAGAAAAGAGTTTCCTCGAGGAAGAAGGGAGTCCACAAAGACAAAGGCTGCAGACAGGTCAAGAAGAATGAGGATTGAGAAAAGCCTATTGGATTTGGCAACCGACTTTGGAGAGAGCAGGGAAGAAAGCACTTTGTAAGCCTTGAAGCAGTATGTATAAATGTGGGTTATTATTATCTTTTAGATAGGGACAGGACTTAGGATTTCATCAGCATAGAGCGGTCCTAATGAGAAAACTCCTAGCAATGCAGTTAGTCACCTTCTCTACAACTTATGGTCTTAATTGCCTAAAGCACTGAGAAATTAAATGACTTGCTCAGGATCACACATCCAGGGCCTTGAATCCAGATTTTATTGGTTTTCAAGGCTGTATTATTATTGTTGTTGTTATTGTTATTACTACCCAAGGCTAATGGTTTACAGATTTAAGAAAGTCATGTCCCATTAGATATCATAAGACTTGGCTTTGATACAGGGCCATTGAAGTCCTAATAAAACTTCCAGTTTCTAATAAATTTCTGTATTAGAAAAGGATGAAGCCAGAGTGGAGAAGCTGAAGAATCACTCAGGGTCACACAATGAGCTAAAGGTAATGCCGAGAAAACTTCCAGAATTCTTACCCTAGACTTTCTCCAACTCCAGTTATCCCTTCTACATTGAGACTTTTCTCATCGAAGTTTCTATATATCCTGGGTCAGCATAAGAAATTAAATGGGAATTTTGGGGAAGTTCTGTGGAAGCCACAAACGACATGCAAAGGCCAACAGAAGACACAGAAAAAATGTTTAGAAACCCCAAAATGCATAAAATATATGTACAGCATTATATGATATCAACATGTTTTACCTTTCAATACCATAATAATTTGGGCTTCTCTGGTATGAAGGGTGGGGCCAAAAAATTTTACGTGGATTTCCCAGATCACAGCAAAGGGGGGCAGGGTGAGATGGGTGACTGTGCCCTTAACACCCCTCCCACTGTTACTTCTCCAAACCCCCACTCTATCCCTTCAGAGTGTAAGGAATAACTGTATCTCTCCCTATTTTATAATCTTTCTCATCAGGATCAGAATTAAGTGGAGAGCTGGAAATTACTTTCCTTTTTTGAAGCTGAACTGGGACCTACCCTCCCCTTTAATGAAGCCTTTCTATCTGCTGGGCCCACCTTATCCTTGCTTGGTGTAACCAGAAGCCATCTTGTTTTCTTTACAAACCATACCAGGTAATATAAAAACATCCAGTGTAGGGCTAAGGTTCTACTACAACAGCTCATCAAAGCTTAGAGACAATCTGAGGTTTTCAAAAGGTAGACCAGCAGAGCCCAAGTTCTGGAGGCCCCTGCCAAGCCAGTGGACCAGTGGTGGACAGCATGTCTGTTGTCCCTGTAATACCTCACCTAAGTTTGGAAAGGCCCATCACCAGGATGATTGTTCGGCGTCACATATGGCTACTTACCTTGGAATGCTATGCAGGAGGTAGGGGTGGAGGTCTCTAGGTTTCATCAGCCCAGTGTGGAGCAGTGATAATAGGACCAGGTATGAAGGAGAGCAAGGGGTTGCCAGACATATCCCCTCCCTCAGTGACCCAACCATACCCAGACCCTTCATTGACAGACCACTTCAGCTGTGCACAACCTTTGGGAACCAGTCTCTCCCATTGGGTGGCTGATGAGGAGTTTGGGTAGTACCTAAAAGGCACAGCTCACTATGAAGACTGGCATAGCACATGAGTGCCAGTATACCCTCTATCATCCCAGTTCTCTAATATAACTGCCACACGAGAAATTAAGATCTTTGGGGTGGGGGGGTGAGGGTTTGTGCCAAATGGAATTTTGACTAGAGTATTGTAGGTTGACATCATAGGGAATCCTCCAGCAGAATGGTGGTGGTTGTTATTCAGTTGTGTTCAACTTTTTTTTTTTTTTAAGGCAATCGGGGTTAAGTGACTTGCCCAGAGTCACACAGCTAGTAAGTGTCAAGTGTTTGGTCTGAGGCTGGATTTGAACTCAGGTCCTCCTGACTTCAGGGCCAGTGCTCTATCTACTGTACCACCTAGCTGCCCCATGTCCAACTCTTCATGACCTCTTTTGTGGTTTTCTTGGCAAAGATACTGGAGTGGTTTGCCATTTCCTTCTCCAGCTCACTTTATTTTACAGATGAGGAAAACTGAGGCAAACATGATTAAGTGACTTGCCCAGGGTCACACAGCTAAGTGTCTGAGACTAGATTTAAACTCCTGACTCCAGACCCCAGGGCTCTATCCACTGTACCACCTAGCTACAGAATGGTAGGCTGTGGGAGGTCAAAGACTATTTCATTTTTATCTCTCTATTCCCAGCATCTGACACACATTAAGTGCTTAATAAATGCTTGTTTATTGGTCAACTAACCATAGAATGATGTGGTTTTTTGGACATAACAACTCTCAAAGAAAGGTTGCTAAACTATAGCAGTGAAGGAAGCACTCGTCCCAAAGAAATGACAGATCCCTGATGTGGCAAAATATTTGATATATTGCTGTAACATCTACCCTCCAATTATCTCAATGTACATTTATCTTCCAAGAGATGGAGAGAGCAATTATTATTTTCCCCACTTTACAGAAGGGGAAATTGAGGCATCAAAAGTTGAACAACTTGCTCAGGGTTACACAAGACAGGGTGCAGATACCTTAATATGAATCACCACCCCACTTCTGCTGCCTTGGCTCTATCTACTTCATAAAGGAATCATTTTCATAACCACCCCCAACAAGAACCCTGTTCCCTGCACTTGAGGAAGTACTCTATTATTTATTCCTCTTCTACTGCCCAGGTGATGGGCTCTGGGAAGCAGAAGATGGATCGGGAGGGTGATGCCCTCTCCCAAGGGTCACTTGCCATGTTGGTGGTTAGATAAGAGACAGAGGGGTTTTCCAGAAGTCATTCTCTTATCAGAGATGGCTCAGACCCATCATTTAGACCATGGATAGAGAAGAAGGAGGTATATATATTAAGCCCCTGAATTTTATCCTAACCAGACCACAAAATCATAGAGCTGGAATGACCTCTGAGTCTATTAAATCCAACACCCTCATTTTGCAGAGAAGGAAACCAAGGCCCAGATGAAGGAAGCATAGTAAATTACAGGCAGAGATGCGACTAGAATTGCTGGTATCCTAATTTTCAGTCCAGTGCTCTTCCTGTTACATCAGATTGTTTCTTGACCCCAACTTTATCTCCCCAGCATCCTGGGATGTTGGGGAAGAATGAAATAGGAGTCGGAATGTAGTCAAAACATCATTCCAAGTGCACAGCCTACCATGAAGGAATCTGATTTTTTTTGAGCCAAGGCTGCCCCCTGGTGGTGGAAGGGCGCAACCCAGGGTAGGAATTTTCCGCGGACACCCTGTCACACCGTGTGAGTCTCCACCCACTGGCAGAGGCGGCTGGCATAGCGGGTAGGGTTGACGGTGGAGAAGGAACCGCCAGGGTGAAGAAGGGATTTCCACAGGAACTCTATCCGTTTGCGGAGATTGTAAACAGTGAAGAAGTCTATGATCCCTATAAAGTAGCGATGCTCTGGGCCATCCAGGGTGTGTAAGGCGTTAAGGACGTCGGGCAGGAGCCGGCAGTTGTGGGCAGCTAGGTTGTAAGCTTTGCTCCTGCGCAGGGAAGAGATGGTGGATTTCTTCACATACCTGGATAGCCTGTCTGAAGGCACTGATGAAGCCTCGCCCCATGCCCCATGCACAGACCTAAAAGGGAAACAGAGGGGCAAATTAATAGCTAGGTGGAGCAGTGGATAGAGAGGATACTGGGCATCAGGAAGACCTGAGTTCAAATCTGACCCCAGAAACTCCCTGGCTGGGTGACCCTAGGTAAGTCACTTAACTTCTTCCTGCATCAGTTTCTTCAGCTGTAAAGTGGTTATCATAATTGCACCTGCTTCCCCAAGTTCATCAAATTAGACAATATTTGTAAAGCGCTCAGCACAGTGCTGGCACTTAATCAGTGATGGCTCCTTCCCTCTCTCTCTCTCTCCTAGGAGGCCTAGGTCCCTTTCTCAAGGAAGCCTTCCCAAAACAGTTCCTCCCTTATCCCTCCATCGTGTCCTTTCCACTCTTTCTTCCCAGTCTCTTACATCGAGCTCATCTGCTCCATTCCCACAGTCTTGACCCTAGAATCACAGAATCTCCAAGGTGGACACACCCTCAGAAATCATTCGGTCCAACCCATACCAGAACATCTCTCACAACTGATCAACCGGCCTCCACTGGTAGAGCTCCAACAATAGAGAGCTCATTACCTTCCAAGGTAACTTTCCTAAACTTCCTTAGGAAACCCATTTCAAAACATTTGACTGTTGCTATGGTCACAAGGCTTCCCTTTATCTTTTTACTTTGGAGCAGCCAGGAAGTGCAGAGAATGGAGCACAAGACTTGAATGAGGGAGACCTGCATTCAATTACTGCCCCAGAAAGTTACTTAGCTGTGGGCAAGTCATTTAACCATTGTCTGCCTCAGTTTGTTCATCTGTAAAAAGGGGATAACAATAGCATCTACTGCCCAGGATTACTGTAAGCATTTTGCAAACCTTTAAGCGCAACACAAATATCAGTTAGTTATTATTATTAGTAGTATTTCCCATGCTAAACATCTGTGGGTCAAAGACTCATAGGACTCATTCTAAAGCAAGAAGGGACCTCCAAAATTCATTGATACAGTCCACCCATTTTCTAGACAAGGAAACTGAGGTCCAAAGAAGTAAAATGATTTGCCTAAACTAAAGTTACAGAACTGGTACAAAGCTGAGTATCTTCAGCCAATACTTGTGTGGATGGGTTCAAATCCTTTCACTGTCCTGATGGTTGTTATCTAGGTCCTCATCATACCTCAAGTAATGGCTGCTACATGATCCCTCTACCAACAGTCTTTTTTTTGGGGGGGCGGCACTAGGTAATGGGGTTAAATGACTTGTCCAGAGTCACATAGCTAGTAAATATTATGTGTCTGAGGCTGAATTTGAACTCAGGTCCTACTGACTCCAGGGTTGGTGCTCTATCCACTGCGCCACCTAGCTGCCCCATGCCTACAACCTTTCAAATCCTTCCTCACATTGCCTTGCACCCTGCCCCCCACCCTCAAACAACCACAGAATTACAGAGCTGAAAGGCAGCCACCTAGTCAAATCTATACCTGAAGGGAATCCCCACCATACTACACCTGACAAGTGTCCCAGCCCCTGCTTGGAGACTTCTAATGAGGGGGAACCCACTGTGTCCCAAGTAGTCCATCCTCCTTCCAGACAGCTCTCATCATTCAGAAGTTTCCCCTCACATCAAGCCTTATTTTCTCTCTTTGCAACTTGTACCTATTTTTCCTAGTTCTGACCTCTGGGACCAAGCAGAGTGTGTCCAGTCTGGTTTCCACATTCCAGCCCTTGAAATCCTTGATCCCAGCTCTCATGTCCCCCTCCTCACCCTCATGTCCCGTCTTTTCCAGGTTCTCTCCTGCTGATTCCCCAAGGTGGCTTACTTAGCTATACGACTCATGATATTCTTGTTTGGTTGCTTCTCGTCCAAGTGGAGCTTCTGAAAGGCCACCAGTAGGCTGTAGTCCAGGACGTTGAGGTTACGCAGGAAGGTGGTATCCAGCTCCATCTGCTTGATAAACCAGTTCCTCTGGGACCCTGTGGAAGTGGGTTAGGATCACAGAGCAGGGTGGGCAGTGTGGGTGAAGAGGAAGCATGAAGAGACCCTAAGCTGTGTCTCTCTGGGGCATTCAGGACAAAGCAGAGAACAGGGAACAGACAGAGAAGGCATAGCACTTATCAGCATCTCATTGGGGTAAACTAGGCCCACAATGAAGGATTTGCCACTGTATTCTCTCTCACAGCAGCCTCCTGCCACAGTGGCGAGGGTAGAGTCTCCCCCAGCTAGCATCTGCAAGGTGTGACCCACTGCCCTCCCAAGGAGAACTGTGCTCCTATGAGGGCTGGGAGGCTGAGGCCATGGACAAGATATTTAGGAGCGCCAAGTGGCAAGTGCCCTAGAGGCAGCTCCTAGACCAGGGGCTGGCTCACCCAGGGAGATGGTGTGTCCCTCAAAGTTGAGATCCTTTAGCACCGTGATAATGTGGCTGTCCTCAGGCAAAGGTTCTGTCCAGCGGCTCACTCGGCACCCTTTAATGTCATACCTGACCAGGCAAAGGGAAGAAAGGAAAGCAGGAAGGAAATAAGGAAAGAGGGAGGGAGGGAAGGAGAGAGGGAGGGAGGAAGGAAGGAAGGAAGGAAGGATGGAAGAAAGGAAGGAAGGAAGGAGGGAAGGAGGGAAGAAAGGAAGGAAGGAAGGAAGGGAGGGAGGGAAGGAGGGAAGGAGGGAGGGAGGAAGGAAGGA